AAGTAATTAAGATCGGATTTGAATAAATTGTTTTGGAATTTAAATGCAGTTTGGGGGAAGAAATGGTACAGTAAAGGAATAGCGCGCGTTCGGAGGAATGAGCTAATAAAATCATTAGCAGAAAACATTTTTGTAGCAAAACCGGTACCTTCAACAACACTTTTACCAACGGGGTACCGTTCTTTTTCATAACTATCAAGAAATTTATTAGCGTCAGCCGTCTGACCTCTAATAACTAGAGCCAATTTGAATGCCAAGTTATGAGCGTCTTGAATTCCTAAATTCATGCCTCGACCACCAACTGGCGAATGACAGTGAGCAGCATCTTTTTTTAATAGACATTACATTAATGATAATTATTAATAATGATAGTAATACGAACAAATTAAACAGTAAATCTTTATTTACCTCCAGCGACGAACACATTTCCTGTTCTATATCTATTTGCAATTCTTTCGTTAATCTTGAAATTGGAAATCCATACTGGATTCTTTAGTTCCATTTTAATCGGGGCAATTTTCTCATCAAACAGTTTCTGCATTTCTTCCAGCGTAATATGCGTTTCATTTGTGAGACCATTTGTAACGTGATCATTAGTTTCATGTTTATCCTCCTCGTCAGAAACTTTGGCAACGACACGGTAAGTATTTTTTCTAGCATCCAATGGGAATAACGCAATAGGTCCTAGTAACATTGTGTATTTCATAAAAATAAAAATATTTATTTTGATGAAAATTAAACGTGTAAAATGTAGTAATAATAAAGGTACCATCATTAATTATGAAAAAGGTTGCATGGTCGTATTTAAGCAATTCATGATCAACTTCTACGTCGGCTACAGCCCAGGAAGATTTCAACGCCTGACCTAGGAAAAATAAAGTACGAGTTTTACTAAAGAGAACGGTAAAAAAATTAATTAAATCTATTCATATAAATTAATCACACCTTCATAAGTCCAATCCTTTATTCCTTTTCTGACGGCAGAATGAGTGCCATCGCATCCTACTAAATATTTACATATAATTTCTTCTTCCACATTGTGCTTTTTTACAATAGCGATGACATGATCACCCTT